AAACTTGGAAATAGGGATTCTGAAATAAAGAGGCGGCAAGATAGCGTCTGGGCTTGAGTAAATGTTTGAACGTAATGATAGATTCATGTTGACTCGTTAATCCTCGACTCCAGACGGAAAAATTGCCTCTACCCAATATGTGCGGCTCACGGGGCGCCGATCACCAGCCCTGGGCCAAAATGTAAATGTGCCGAGGGGGAAGGTTAGCGGCACTCTTCTCTCTCTTTCTCTATCTTTCTCCCTGCTTCAGTATTTTGCCCACATATTACTTCAGCTGATGCTTATCATGCTAATTTATACTAGTTAACATTGTTGGGTCACAGTGATATTGGCTACATCCCACCAGAGAGGCTCGCATGATCGTCTAAAATAGTGTGATCCTTGATGTTAGTGTAATCTTGAATAACAGTGTGATCCTTGCAAGAGTAAATTCCTTCATGGTCCATAAGTATACAGTGGAATCCTTCCGTGGGAGTGGATTACATCCCACTTGGACGATTCCTACCTGGACGGGCGTTTGTATTCTACGATTTAACCAAATCTATCCCAATCGTCAAAGCGAGATAGCAAAAATTCGCATAAAACAAACAATGGTTTAGACTCGTCCAATTGGGGTGAAGGTGTGGGGTACGAGGGGAAGAGGTTTTTAACGTGGTATGGGCAGCGGGAAGATATATGGGCCTCCTTCATCCACCCCCTAACCTGAACCGTCCTCCTTTTCGTTATCGATTTAAATAATTTATTTATATTTACTGTGTGTTCTTCATCTCTTAACGGTGGCGACGATCGGCATATTTCTGCTGATTGAAGATTTTTATACCTTTTAGTGCCTTTTCTTGTCTCATATAAACGGTGACATCGTGTAAATAAATTGTATCTGACGGTGTCGGACGTATGTGGATTTGTTTTTTATATTTGTCTTTGGTAAGCACGATAAGTCCTTTGTCGTACATTTAATTTTTTTTAAATAGCAGGGATATGCTTCTAAGCATTATTTCGAACTTATGTGGTCATTGACCTTATAAAGTCTTTTTGGAGTGACCAAATATTAAGAATATTACATCCTTTAAGAGCTAATCGTTGTGGATACGATGAATCGATCAATTAATTTTTAATGGCCTAAAGTATACTGTATGCCAGGGGTGTCAAACTCATGGCCCGCGGGCCAAATGTGGCCCTTGGGATGGTCAGGTGTGGCCCGCGGGATGACGGTCAAATTTATCATCCCGTGAAATTATGAAAAAAAATAGATATAATTATGTTTATTTAGTAAAATGAATTTTACATACTTAAGATCAGACAAGCCCAAATGAGGTATTCCTGGTAAGCCAAGTAAGGCAATGTGTGAAGCTGTAAACTTCAATCCTACAAATATGTGATATAGCACTTGTGTTGGCCCTGAAGAGGGTAACTAAAATAAGAATTAGCCCTCGAAAGGTTTTGAGTTTGACACCACTGCTGTATGCTAAAGGCCTTTGGTTCACAAGGAGGCAGTGTGGGTGAGCTGAGGGTGCCTTGGGTGCGGACCAGCGATCCTAGGACAGGAGGAAAGCAATGTATCTACTCTGCCTCTGTACCCTATTTCTATCTCTTGAGTTATGGCGGAAACACAAATCTTCTCAAATTATTTTTATGGTTTCACTATATAGCAAAAATGTATGTAGTAGACCATAACATCAGTAGGGACGTTTTTAATTTATAATTTCACCACTAATCAGCTTACACGCTATTCAGGTGGTTGGTCTGTTCTTTGTTGTGACATTCATTATCCAGTGTTAGCGCAGGATGAAACCAGAATACCAAGAAAAAACCTGCGGTGCTTCGATAGGGTCACACTGGATAACACCCCTTTCATATGTAACCCAGCCCAGGAATTTAACCTAGGACACAGTAACGAGAGGCAAGTGCGTTACCACATTACCATCATATTAATTACCTGGCGTTTTACACACACAGTATGATTTTCTAACTGATTTCCATGTTTTCTTAATTTCAATTTTAACTGCATTACTTTGATTAATTTCATAAACTACCCAAGTATGTATCTCGGGTAAACTTTGGCGTTCAAATAGGTTTTATCTGCCGTCTCCAATACTAATCTAACTTCAAAATCCTCTTGAACTTATCTCACGAAACTTTTTACCGACACACAAATGTAGCTACCGAGGGTGTGAAGCTGGGCGTTTTGCGTCGTGTGGGTGTACCTGCTGATGCTCTTATGGCCACACTCCTTGTAGCTATGAATTATCGCCAGAATATTACCCTTATAACTATATAGTAATGAAATAAACCTTAGTTTCCTCAGCGTGTATAAGTAGCATAATTAAAGCTTCTGTACTCACCTGCTGGGCACGTCTGGGTGTCATAGTCACAATAGCATAGCTAGTCTATTTAATACCACATAATAATTCATATTATGCTCCACGCCCACAAAACATGTGTGAAACTGATGCGTTACCCCTAAAGAGAGACGTGTTTTCTCTAGCTTAGGTGCCGTCCATTTTCTGTGGCATCCAGAAACCAACCTCAACAAAGTAAATTTGAATTTAAGAGATAACGCGTAGGAATAGCCTTATAACAGTATCTTAATAGGTCTGTTCAACAACGTTTAATGTTCTCCACAATATGTATCAACTTCCTGTAATGATTGCAGGCAGAGTATTCCCCAGTTTATATTTTTACTCATATATGTTGTAAGTACTATGTGAGTACTGGCATATAATACTGAAGAATACTGTATTTATTTATTTACTAAACCACTAGACATCATTGTAATTCCAGACAAAGTAATATAAGGAAGAGGTCTAGACAATGATCCGGGTGTTCTCTGGCACCGATATATTTTCCCTGATGCATTACATTAGGGAAGGTACAACTTGCCTAGCCTATATTACAGATGGGCAAGGGGTGACCTAGTTGACGTGTTTAAGCATCTCAGGGGGCACTACTCAGTCGAGTGTCCTTACTTGGAGCTGGCGGACGCTCGCCCAACAAGGGGTCACAGCTCAAGATTGAAGAAGCTGCAAGTCCAGAAAACTGTGAGGGCAAACTTTTTCGGAGTGAGGGTTGTAAACTCTTGGAACAATCTACCAGAAAGTGTTGAGACGGCACCAAGTGCGAGCTCTTTCAAGGCAAGACTTGACCAACACTGGAGCGGGTTCAGGTATAATCAGGAGCCAGTGCATGCCAACAGCGTGTGACAGAGACGAGACCAATCGCCCAGGCGGCTAGCGAGCCGATCTTTTGGTGAAGAGGATAAATGAAAAGGAAAAGTAATCAGAGACGTGACCGATCGCCCAAGCGGCTAATGAGCCGATCAGTGGCGAAGAGGATAAAAGTAAAAAGTAAAAAAGCATGTGTGTGAACCTGAGCCTAGTGTAAATAAAATTTTGGGTACTAAAGAGTAGACTGTGTTTGTGGAAATCCATTTTTTTGTGTTTTTTTGCAGAGCTGTCAGTACTTAATCACCTGATTTATCAGCATTCATATTCTTATTACTTATATTCCTTTTGAATATTTTGGACGAAGGCAACAGGTCTGTGCGTCCAGATTTTCATACAACTGAGAAACAATACTATACTCAATATTAAGTCAGGTAGGATAGTGACACAACTATTATACTTAGGGTTCTGTTATTGTACACAACATCTACATCTATTCAATGCTTGTCTAGTAATCTTTGGAGGGTCAACACATTTTGAGACTTTACCACATGAAGTCCAAAACACACACCGAGAAGGTGTTTTGCCTCAGCCTAATTTGAGTACATACTGTACATGTCTTGAACAGCATCGCAGTGTGACTTCTGGAATTGCCATTTGTGGTCTCATCTCTGGAATGCTTCATTGTGGATATTCCTTCCATAACCTTGAATATCTTGACCATATATCCATATATTGTGTGGTGTACTGTTTATGAAATCTTATAACTTTCTCAGATGGTCTTGAAAAATATAGTTCCTCAACCAGGGTTCCAATTTTGGTCCTCGAAACACTTATGATGGTAGGGATGCCTTTCATTTTGTTGGTATGTTATACAGTACTGTAACTACCTTAACATACTCTTTGGCTTTATGTAATCACCTGAAGTTTTCTGCATCCAGGTGCATGAATAGTCATTCTTCCACTAGTTCATCTTGTTGACATAACATGTACTGTACTGTAGTCTTCAAATGACAATTTGCTGTCAACTGCCACATTCATATCCTTTCCCTGGTCCATTCTCTTTCTTCTTACTTGAAATACATTAAATGGTCTTTTTCTCTATTCCTGCCTATAATCATTACCTTATTACCCTAATGTTCAGTAAAACACACTTATTTCATCTGCCAAAAAATAAAGAAAGCCAAAGATGAACTATACGTACTGTAAAGAATAAAAAATACCATATAGCATAACTTGCTAGGGAGAAGACAAAATGTGATTGGGACAACTATCAAGTACTGTATTTAATTAAAAAGATAGGTCTGAAGAGTAATGATATTAGCTGGAAATTTCAATTTCATCCTGAAGTAATCTAACATTTTAAAAGATCAGAACCATTGAAATATTTACACGGCCGTCAGCAGAGGTGGGAAATTTGAAGTTGTTACCCGGTAGCAGTCGCATTTCCCGCCTCTGCTGACGGCCGTGTAAATATTTCAATGTGATTCTGATCTTTTAAAATGTTAGTTTTTGTATAATGTAGTATTACTGATATGTAATTTGTCTTAGTATGCCTTATTGTTGGCAAAAATAAGTTTACTATATTAAATGCATCCTCCGAAAGCGTGAATTTGCTACCAGAGTTTAACGGTTAATTCATGTATAATACTTCTGATAAACTTCCTATGTACTTATGTTTAAAATAATGAATGTATGTATCTTTATATAATTTAGCTAAATATCTTTCTCGTCAGAAATGGTCTTTCCAACGATTATGAATAAACTCCTTTAGAAATACTGTACAGTACATCATTACTTCAGGATGAAATCGGACAGGTTGGAAACTGCCAATCAGCTGTAATTTTTGAGAAAGGGGTGGGGCATCTTTTCTCAGCTGAGAAAAAATGCACTATAGACAACTGTAACTCCTAAATGATCTGCTGTGATTGTATCTGTGTCAACACCTCGGTTGGTTAATACACAAAGTTCAATTCAAGAATACAGATACACAACAATTTATTTGACAAATGAAGTAGATACTGTACAAAAAATTCTAACACTGTACTGTATACCCATAAATACTGTACTGAGATATTTAGGATAACCTCTCATACAAGTCGTTATACAGTACTATATATTCACACATTAAGTCACAAAGATAGTCATGCAAGAACAGACAGATACCTGTACTGTACAACACTATTATTGGAAAGGGCTACCCGGTACACTGTACTGTATTGGGAAAAAAAAATTTGGTAACCCTATCTACTACAAAAAATGGTACAGTACAGTACCGTATCTTTTTCAAAACACACAAGCTACCCTAATAAAAAAAAGGTACCATACACAACACTAATCTAGTTTTCCAAGAATCTCGCATTAACTGGTTATTTTCCATAACACAGCTGATTTGTCTTCCAATAACTCCACTTCGAATTGGTCAGATGACATTGCAGTATATGGAAGCCCAAGATGATATGTCACATAAATGAATTTAAAAATACAGACAATTTCACCTGAGAAAAAAGTTTTGACATCATTTAAGGTTACCATGTAAACTGTAACCACCTGTTACAATTAAACTAACCTTATGGCTATCATGAACCCTGTTGTATGACCAACTAAAAGTAACTGTACTTACAGAAAACTGATTGAAGTTCTAACAATTAATCCAGGGCTTGGTGAATCTGTATATATGGGGTAGTCCTTAAATGACAGTGAATCACAGGATTTTTAAGTTGAGGCCAACCCATTGCTATTATCTAATGACTTAATGAGATCCAATTTGTAACACTGCCTGTCTTATTTATAAACTATGAAATGGACCTCTTAGAACCAAGGAGGATTCATACTCAGATAATATACAAAAACATGTTCAAAATGAAAACTAAACTGATGTGCCTTTTAAAGTTGAGATTCTCTTATTCAGTATGAACAAAGTCAAGGCCACATTGTGTGGCTGAATAGGGAAGGTAGGAGGCTATAGTTTCCTTTCTGTCAATATGCAGTGTCACCCGACTGTGTTACTTGTACTTGCCAGGTAATATGGTCCAGATTACTGTAACCTGTTGGTAAGACCTTAGCTGATCTTGTGATTAACATTTCTTCATTCAGGGGAAAAGAAAGCAATCTATCACATTAATTTTTTTTACGCTGAGTTCAATAGCAATTTTCAAGATGTTACATGGTCTTGCAACTTGATATGATAGATGTACTGTATCTGAACATATTATACTTTTTTCCACAATAATATGGCAATAATTGTCAGTGCAAGCCTAAGTGGTCCATTAAGCAAAATGCTATCAAGCACTAACCAAGCAAGGATACTTGGCAATTGAAAAACAACGGTGGCCAACATACTGACTGTCAACCAGCGCCCACACCGGTACCTGGTTGAGTCAAAGCTGCAAAGACAAAGAAATATACAGAGTAACTAAATTATTTTTTCTAAATGTTCATTTAGTGCATTTTGCCATAATGAGAGATATAATTAATACAAGTCTAGTGGTTTTATAGTAAAAATATAAATACTAAAGCACTAATCTCTTCTCACACACATGCTTGTTATTAACGGTTTTCACCCTTGAAGATTTAATAATGTTTGATGAAACATATCTTGAGAAATATGAGGTTAACCCTAAAATCTTGTTTTATGAACAGGGATCCTCCATTGTGTTAAAACCTGCCATGTTCATGCTGTCCACTACACCATGTCCGAATAAAGCAGCTAAACTACTAACCTTAGTTATATTCCCAACACAACTCTCGACCCTTTAATTCTAAAAGAAAAGGTTTTCCATATGATAAAGGATGAAGGATGTTGCCAACTTGCCATTCAAGGCAGAAAGATCATTGGCTATTGATGGTTTCCTCTTAAGAAAAACCCATTCTTTTCTTTATCTAACCATAGAAAACATACCCCTAATCCTTGCAGTTGGCGAAAGGATTGCATCTATGAATTTTGGTATTGTATGCAGGGGTTTCTGGAACTATTCATCACACATAACTAGGGATGGGTGTAGGTAGTTCCATTTGTAAGCACAGGTGCTCCTCTACTTATGAACAACCGACTTGCAAACAAACCTGTCCATATGTACTGTCTGTCTGTGAGTTATTTACGGTGAACTATAACTACCCAATACACATGCAAAGTAAGCTAACCTTGCCAGTAACCTCCTTTATCCTGAGCTTGCCTACCATATCCCTAGATTCTTTCTTCATGTTGCTACAAGAAGAGCAGAACTTCATTCACTATACAGTACTGTTTTGTAAAGGAATATGCTGCTTTAAATCTACAAATACCTGATGCAATTGGAGATTTACAAATACTGTACTGCAATTTTCTTTTTGTTTGCATCTGTTAACATTACTAGTGGCATTGTTGCCAAATTAGACTCATCACTGTAGTTACATTGCCTAGCCTTCTCGCTACCAGGCAATTATGTGAGGACCCTTCTTCTGGCCTAAATAATAATAACATTCAGTGTAAAAATCTGAAAGTTTATGCTTGTCTCTGTAACAAGGAAGGTGGTGGTGAGTGTCAGTGAATCTTTCAATGCCAGTTAAAGCTGGTTTGCAAAGTTTATGAAGCACCACAGGCCCCATTGTGGGTTGATGACTTGTGCCTGGGTGAACTACTCCCCATTAAAATATATAATAATAATAACAACTTGTGTACATTAAATGCAATCAAAACTATGCATCACTGAAATGCCAAGGAGAAATGGGGGTTACTTTTGTGCTTGGCTGCTTCAACTACTATAAGGCTCTCTTACAGTGATCTTCTGTTCCACACAACAAAAAAAGTATGCAATTGCCCCTCAAAAGTGAATTCTACATCCAGGCCCTAGCAATTCCCATACAGGAATCATAAGGAGTAACTGCCTATGCCAGTGAATACAGTATCTTGTCACACCCCCCAGATTATGCCATAGTTTCAGGTTTTCTGGGAGAAAGCCCGAGAAACAATTTATCGAAACTTCTTAAATAAAAGTAGCACTGGGTTACACACAGTCCACAGCATGCTGATGTTAGTAAATGATTCTCTTAACTGTCACACTTGATTAGGTTGTTAACACACAAACATCTGTAAAATGGATATTAAATTCCAGTCTTACCTTAAAAACAAAGTCTACAACTGTGTATCCCATCCAAAAAAGCCCAAATTCATTGAGAGGCTCATACTCATTATTCTTTATGAGCAGAGATTGAAGGCCTTTTTACTTTGGTGGCAGGTAAGGACACTGGTTGGCTGTGTGGTTGCAGTTTGTAGAAGGGCTAGAATTAAATGAATCACACATTTCTTCCCCAAATTTAAATTTCTTACTTACCCCTTTTGAAAGGTTAGAGTTGTTTGTGGAAGACAAAACTGAATCCTCCAGTAGGCTGTATTACGGCCCAAGCCCGCCATTAGTTCAGGGTTTAACTGGGTTCTAGGTCTCTTAAGCTTCAGGAGGAACATTTTGGTTAACCTAGATAATCTTAATTTATAAAAACAATCCAGAATTACTAAATACAGTACAGTATTGAAATTTACCTACCTTATCATTTTTTTTACAAAGATGATAAAAAAAATGGGCATCTGTAGAGTGAGCCACTGAAATGTAAGAGACATGTTGGTCAATAATGTATGAGATGTGCTGATCGGTAACAAAAACGGAAATGTTTGAAACTCTGTTTCTAGGGAAGACATACTGTATATTGATAAATCTTTCATCATATATTCCCTCAAACTACCTCTCAAATTCAAGAAAAATTAATATTATAAAAAAGAGAGAAGGAACAAGGATTAAAATTACAAAATCATAACAGCTTACCAAGAAAAAAGCATCAGGATATGTTAGTTCTCCTGGTAGCATAGAAGAATCAACAAAGATGCCCCACATAAACACAACACCAAGCTTGTCTTTGGCAAGATTTCCAACATACCAGGGACCTAAGATGAGAAATGATGTCATGTAAGCGCATTAACCAACAGAATACTGTATCCACATAATGCAACACTGTGTAGAGAAAGATATAATACTGTACAATACAAGAAAAATCATGAAAACTTGTCTGACACCCACAGGTTGGGTTAAGTGAGGAAGTCAAGGACGAGTTCTGGATTGAGTTGCTGCATGTAACAACAGAGCTTGGTAAAAGGGAAATTATAGTAGTGGGTGGTGACTTAAATGGTCATGTTGGTGAATATATATTGACTTATAAAGGTGTGCATGGTAGAAAAGGCTTTGGAACAAGAGCTGCCGTACTGAAGGTGAAAGAATAATTGATGTAAAGGTGAGAGCAGGGTTAAGAATGTGCCTTGCAGCAAAGACTGCTTGTGAGAGATATTACTTAAAAGGAGCAAGGAAAGGAAGAAGGTATATGTTCCAAGAAGGAGTGTGTGAAAATTGAAGGAGCAAAGTTGAAGGGAAGCATTTTATGATGAGTTAAGAGGAGTGGAAATGACCAGTGATACAGTGTGAGGACTGTAGTGAGATGCTGGGCCAAATTACAGGATGTTCTGTTAAGTCAGGCATGGTGGAAGGATGATGAAGTGGAAAGAGTGATAAAGGAAAGAAAAAAATTGTATAAAGCCTGGTAGAAGGGTGGCAACACAGGAGAGTACCAAGGGGTCAAGCACAGGGATAGAAGAGAGGTTTAAATTGCTAAAAAGCAGGAACAGGATGCACTGATAGATAAGCCGAATGGTGCTGATGCTAAAAATGAGGATATACAGAATAGCAAGGTAAACTATATGTACAGTAATAACATGAATGCAGTTGGTGAATGTTGCGTGAGAAATGACTTCAAAGATGGTTGGAGTAACTACTATGATTGTGTGCTGAATGAGGAGTTTGAATGGGGCCTCTGTGTGTGGAATAAAACTGTCTGACATTAGCCAATTAAAATGTTAAAAGTAGGGAACCCATTGAGAAGGAATTATATAAAAATTTTAAGTAAAATGAAAACTAGAATAAACATCGAGTTATCTGAAGATCAAAGTAGGTTTAGAAAAGGAAACAGAGAAGCTATATTTGGTTTGATAATTTTGACTGAGAGGACTTTAGAGGCCCCCCAAAAAACTTAAATTGGTTTTGTTAAATTTAAAAATATTCTGATAGTGTAAAATTCAATAAAATTATAGCTGTCTTCAGGAAAACAGGCATTAATGAAGGAGATATTAGTATTTTAAAAAATACGTATATATTACTGGCAACAGGAGGCTGCAGTGTTAGTAAATATTGAATTTACTAGTTGATTCAAGGTTAGGCAGGGAGTAAGAAAAGGCTGTGTTTTATCTCCAATATTATATAATATCTACAGAAAGTATTCAGAATTTTTAATTGAAGAAGGTCAAAATAACATTGAAGGAAACAAATAATGGTAAAGTAATACATTATACAGATGATACTGTTCTTATCACAGACAGTGATGGAAAAAAGAGTTGAAATTTATAGAATAAGTCGAATGAGATAGACAGTACATTGGCCATATACAATAGGGATGAGGGGAAAATAACAGAGTTGAAGGTAGGAGGGCCAGGGAATGGTAGAGGCTGGGATGGATGAATTAAATTAAAAGTTGGGTCCCTTGGGAGGAATGGTAAAAACAACCTAAAAACAAGTAGAGTAGAAGATTGTGGTTGCCAAACATCAGCCATGAGGACAGCACTTTGATTGATTGATTGTATGTGAACTTCCTTTAATAGCTAAGAGGAGTTTGATGCACTGGAGGTGCTGAGAAGGTGTGATTCCTGACTAGCTCCAGTAGGATTGATTGGATCCTGATCTAACTTGGAAAGAAGTGCTGCTTGCAGCAGAAAACATTACAGTATCTAACAATACATAGCATATCCCTCTATTAAACATACCAATCCCTTTGGCAAAAGTCAAGCTCAGCCAGGGGATGGAGATGTTTTGTGGTATGGATCTCACATATGTCCATGCAATACATACATGTTCTTAGACTCAATTATCGAGACTTTTTTAGGCTGATGAAAACATTTGTCTTACCTATGAGAGGGTAGAGGAGAAACACCATCATCAGGACAAATACAGTGTAGTTCTGACCCAGACTTATGGAAGCTGCACCCACCCGCTTCGGTATTAAAGGCTCAAGTCGCACTGGTTTAACACAAAGGACACATTCAGAACATTCTTAATAATGCCATACATAAATAGGCAATCTAAGCTTATTTACATTTCATAGATTAGGTGTTATAAACATTACAGAGTATAGTACTGATGTCTTGGCAATATTCTATGATAGTTCCAAAAGTCTTGTAAAAAATAATACAGAAGCAAGATATAACAGTGCAATTAACAAATATACATATTGCTTTATGGGAAAGTTGTGTACTGTAAAATAAGTGAGAGAGAGATATTATCCATAATTTTATACTGTTATTACAACAAAAAATATATACCGTGTACTGGAGTGCAGTGGTCCCCAACCTTTTGTAGGCTCTGGGCCACATTTGTCATTGTAAATACGTATAGTGGAGGGCGCCAAAACTTTGGATCTACATTCAAGAAAATAAATCTCATATATTCAGTTATTTGCAGTTTACACAAGTCTAAATGTTACCAGTTACATACTTTTTATGTTCACTGTTGGATCAGTATTTACCTTTAGTGAGAAGTCTCTCTCTCAAGTTATTATATATTTTCATTATTTTCATTTTGACAAAGAATCCCAAAAATGTTTCAAAATTTTCTAGCTAACCCCTGAGGGCTCCCTAATATGGTTTTGCAGGTGCCATGCCGCCCACAAACTACAGGTTGGGGACCACTGCTGTAGAGTAATCTCCCTATTAGCCAGAATTTCTGGTCTCCAGAACTCTCCAATAATTGGAACGAATTTTGAGCCTTCTAGGAAAACTCTCTCCATTTCGAGCATTTGAAGGCGTTTTCGAAGATGAAATCATGCACATTTTCCGGAATTTTTTTTAGAAAATCTCTCTGTTCCGGGCATGGGAACAAGTTTTTCAGGAGTCCGAGATATTGCATCATGCTCCTATGTGTCCACAAGTGCCGAGTGCATGGGTGGGCTAGCTGCTTGGGCTGTAGGCTCACATGCTTAGTTCATATTCTTCTGCCATTGTACTGTACAGTACAATGTTGTTCTCTCACTCACTGCTGTTTTGCATACAATTTGTGTTGTGCAGTAATGTACTGTACATTGCTATACCAGGAGAAGGACCTAGGTGTGTATGTTGACAATGAGCTGAAGTTCTTGGGCCATTGTGAGAAGAAGGTAAATCAGGTAAATAAATTATTGGGTCTTATAAGTTGGCCATTCAAATATCTAGACAGTCCGCCCTCGTAATGATCTTCAAGAGTGAAGTGCTTCCCCATCTGGAGTACTGTCACCCCGTCTGGTCCCCAAGATATGCTAAAGACTGTCAGTTGGTTGAAAATGTTCAAAGGAGGGCCACCAGACTAGTGCCTGCACTTCGGCACCTCAGCTACCCTGAGAGATTGGAGCACCTGAACTTGCCTAGCTTATACTACAGACGGGAAAGGGGTAACCAAATTTAGGTGTATAAGCATCTCAAGGGGCACTACTCAGTCGAGTGTCCTTACTTGGAGCTGGCGGACGCTCGCCCCACAAGGGGTCACAGCTCAAGATTGAAGAAGCCGCAAGTCCAGAAAACTGTGAGGGCAAACTTTTTCGGAGTGAGAGTTGTGAACTCTTGGAAGAATCTACCAGAAAGTGTTGTGATGGCACCGTGTGTGAGCTCTTTCAAGACCAGACTTGACCAACACTGGAGCAGGTTCAAGTACATTCAGGAGCCGGTGCATGCCCAGTACTTGCCAACAGTGTGTAACAGAGACGTGACCAATCGCCCAAGCGGCTAACGAGCCGATTAGTGGCGAAGAGGATAAAAGTAAAAAAGGATACAATCAGCTAAGAATACAGTGTTAACCCCTAGGCTTTGGGGTCATGTTCTATGATTGTTAATACAATAGTGTAAATAGTAATAACATAGTAAAACAAGTGTCCTGTACCTCATAATGCCTACAAATTAGTGTAGTTTACCTTGTTACTACTGAGTACTGTCACACACAAGGCACTTCACGAACATTCTCGACTCTTAATAGCCCATGTTGCCAACCTGTGGTAAGGACATGTATTTATTTCCTCTTTATATCATGCATGGCCAGTTTATAAGATTAGAATTGTTTTTTATTTGTTTTTTTAAATGTTCCCGGCCATAGCCTAAAGCCCAGGGGTTAAAACAACGTTAAGAGATAAAAAGTTATTACATTTAAGTATACTCTACCTGTACTGTACATTCAGTAAATGTGAAAGTTCTGTACATAGCAGTGGTCAGTGTATGCCTAGTGTAGAGGAGAGGAGAGTAACAGTTAGTAACACCTGCTACAGTAGATGGTACAGGACAAAGGCAGGCCATCCTGTACTGTATTATTGCTAGGTGGCTCGGTATTTCCAAGCACACCGTAGCCTTATGGATAAAGTGCCACGATGATACAGGACAGACCCTGCATCAGCCTCGCTGCACAATGCCTGCACAAGATTGAGCATTAGCAGCTATCATCAAAAACAAATCATTTACCACTGCCCCCAGCATCACACAAGAACTTAGACTGGCCTGCACACCACAGACAAGCAGACAATGACCTCCATGCCCATATACCGGCAAAGAAGCCACACCTGACTGAGGTAGACATGGAAAGGCGCCTGGAGTATGCTTGTTTCTGGGAAGACGTGTACTGCAACGAGAAGACTTTCGGCAAGGATAGAGGACTACTACCAGAGCTTGGCGCAGACACAACGAACAGTAACAATCTCCCCCTCTCTTTCTCACTGTATTAGAAATATATACCGCTTAGTTATAGGTTTAAGTAGTTAATTGGAGATATGTAGGAGATACTGTACTAATGACTGAATGGAACCTTTATGTTACACATGTCACGCATCTGTAGTCGGCAGTATTTAGGAAATCCAAGGTAATGTCATGCATGTGGAATCTTCTACCACACAGTCAATACCAGGATGGCAACACATAATTATGTTCTCTCATCAATTCCTTTTATTCATTTTCCCAGATGTGAAGCTGGACATGTGGTTGGAACCCGGAGAAGTGGCAGAGTCAGTGCTGGTGTATTCTGATGGATTCACGCAAGCGGTATAGGGGAGCTGGCAGATGTCGGTCCAGGCCGGTTTACAGGGAGGAAATATGTTGAGATATTGGAGGAAGTCCTGCTTCCTTCAGTGGAATGCTTGCTCTACCCTGAAGGAACCCCATTCTACCTCTTGTAAGACAACTCTCCCATACACATGAGTAATGTTGTCAAGAATTGGTTTCACATCCACCCACATGTTAGGCTTCTGCCACATCCTCCAAAATCGCCAGACCTCAACCCCATAGAAAACATATAGGCAGAAATGGTCAAGACAGGTCGGCTCAACAACAGCCCCAGCCGTAGCCGATATCGAGTAATTGCTAATGCAAACATGGTATGGGAGGATATGAGAGGCACGGCTGACCAGGCCTTGATCCAGAACTTGTGAGCCTCCATGCCTAACAGGCTAAAGTGTGTCATTGACATAGAGGGTGCCTACACTAAATATTGGTAGAAATAAAATGACAATCACAATTACAGGTGTTTACCTATCGTAGGTTAGGTTAGGATATTTGAACATATATTATGTAATATACAGTATACAGTACCTAATCTTCCATCTGCCATGAATATCAACCTCGTTTTGCACACCAAAAACATGTTGATGTTAAAATAACATTCGATCATACCAGCCGCGACCCTTCTACTGCATATCATTAACCCATGCTAGAATCTTATTAGCTTGTCTAAGACGTGACTGGGTGTTTACGTCTGTTACACTAATATAATGATAAGCATTCACTCATAGACCTTTATGTTGCCAATACCGATCGGCAATGACAATTGCTTTTGATATTAATTTGATTATTTTATAAATATAGTCATATGATGTTAACTGCTGTATTAATATCTTGTAACACATTGTGCACACAGACACACTGAAACACCTTATGGTAAATACTATCTACAGAGTAACTGGCAACACAGGAAGCCAGAGCTACCAACATCCGCTTTGACTCACGAGTGTTTTCAGAATTCTTGGTCCGGTGTGTCATACTGTAGAAGCCCATAAAGGTGCAGAATAATATTTTGCTGATTGTACATTCCAGGGATGAGCAGTAGTGTCTGTCCATGCAAGATGTGTAGTTTAAACTCCTGGAAAACTTACCCTAGTACTAAACCCAGAAAAATTCCGGGAATGTGCGATTTTCTCTGGGATGAGAAATTTGTCTCTTTACCCAGGAATATCTCACTTCCGGAAGAGCTCTGCACCAATTATTCTGGCTACCGGGGATATCACTTATATACCAAATACAGCCTGAGATAGATAGTTTCTTACCTTGATACTTTCCCATTAAGACAAGGAGACAACTCATTCCAATGCCAGTCAAATAGATCATCAAGAACTAAAGCAAAGAAAACAACACATTACAGAAGCTTGACACACAGGAAGAAAATTAATCGTATCCCCTTATTGTACCAACGACAAGAGAAATCATCCATCAGAAGCATTACCGAGAAATTAACGTTAACATGTCAATCAACAAGAGTTAAAGCATTTTATAACATACTGTACAGAGTAATCAAGAGTGATATAATCTATTTAAAACATTAGCAAACCATTACACGATTCATAACACCGAATAATTTTTTTTTTACCATATCATGAAGATTAATGGAAAGAATGAATGACCCAAAGTAAGAAGGTTGAGGTCGCACAAACCCTGCTCCTTCCTTCCCAACTCGAAGAAGAGATTTGCTGCCAGACGAATTCCCAACCAATACCTGCAACATATGTCTTTATGGTAGTAATTTCTGTATTAAAACTCAGAATATTACTGGGTAAGAAATATCTGGCCCTCTTGTTATCTTAAATATATTCACACAACCAAAGAATTTTGATCAGAATATGTACAGTATACTGTATGTAAATCAATCTTTCACAAGCAGTGTCATTGTGATTATTTTTTACCATATAGAGCAACTCAAATCTTTTGTGTTCAACCTGCAATTACATGTCATCAAAATTAGGCAAAATAAAACTAATTTAAAGTTCCCTGTAAATAAAAACATATGCAAAGCAATAATGTCCAGCAGAAGAATAACTAAGTAAACACTCTATTCGTACATGCCAATTCAGTACACCAGAGTTAATATACAGTACCTGAAGATTGTCCACACCCCCCTTAGCTTAACCCACCAAAATTTTAACCACCCTGACATTATTTAAGGCTAATCTTCAGGTGATGGTGGAACTCTGCAGTCACCTGAAGATTGGCTACCCAGTGTATCCCAAGTGAAGTTTAACAACCCCAATGCTACCTGAGGGACTAATACTCAGGTGATCGGTAAATGCTAAAATTATGAATGTTCTCAGTCTCAACTTGTAAAGGTCTCGGGATTTGGGAGGCAGATCTAGGACTTGGTCTTCGTCTTGGGTCTTGGGAGGCAGGTCTTGGTCTGGTCTAGGTTTCAACTTGTAAAGGTCTAAAATAAAATAAATAAATAAAAATTCACCTGTACATCACGTGCCAGGATTCGAATCAGGACCACCAAGGTTCAGGTCCACAGTTGTGGGTGTAGGACCTTAAACTGCAAGTGAGCAGCTAATGAGAGTAGCTTTTACCCCACAGTGGTCCAGTGGATAGTTGCCTGACTACCAACCTTGGTGGTTTGGGTTTGAATCCCAGCACGCACAGGTGAAAATTGTTTACATTGATTTATCTGTGTACATTACAGGTCCTCATATTGTAATGGTCTTTGAAGTAATGTCTTGGTCTCAACTTATAAAGGTATATAATGTATCAAAATAAAAAGTGATGGGTATGTATTGCTGATGTGGTGCTTTTACTTGTTTAATTTCTACATTAATTAGCAACTTTTGCATCTGAATGAACCCTTTCAGGGCTCTCAGTGCAGAAAGAAGATGAAATTAAATATATGATCCATCTCATTCTTTATTTAAGGGATTAAATGGGTTTTAACCCCTGAGAATTAGCTATTACACAAGTGAAGTACAGTACAGGAAGGCCATTTTAATGTAAAATTATTTCTATGGAAAAACATATTCACACGCACCTGTAGCTTCCTTATAAACTCCTCTTCAGTCACTTGTGGTTCCCATTCATCTGTCTGTACATCAACAGTGGCAGTGTAAAGTGGGCCATGTCTGTGCTTGCAGGTGATCCAGTGTCCAAGATTGTTATCAACTCGCACTGAAACTGCTGAAATCTCCTCATTTGTAAACACAAGTAACCTAAAATGAACAATGAACAATAAATACATTCAACACCATTGAAAGGCTTTAACTAAGATAATAAAATGATTATCACAAGACAAGAACAGCAATGCATAAAGCTGTTGACTGATGGAGGGATAAAGTAAAAATATAAAGGTGTACACATGGGGACTTCCACAATAAGATCATTATGTACATTATTTACAAGAGGAGGTGGCAGGCAGGTTCTCTGCTCTGCTATATTGACACCAATGGCAGATCCACCAAACCAAAAAGGGGGGGGGGGGGATCCATGAAAAAGGGGCACACCTTGTTTTTTGTTTTTCACACATATCTATGCTACACTTTAGTGGCCTTGGACAATAAATTATTACTTATACAGGCATACGTATGTGAAAAAATGTGTACATTTGTGTGATATATAAGTACTGTATACTTCAGATACTAAAAACTCTGGCACGGACACTGGGTTACAAGTATATGGGATGGGAAATCTACAATACAGAACCAGTCAAAAATATTAATATTTTGCATTTCACATTATCACTTTGAGGCATAATATAGTCTTTCCTCTCCAACCTCGTGGGTTTGATTCCTGAAAACCCCATGGTTGGCAAAACCGTGAATGGAAATGGCTCAGCCCGATGGAAAATAAGGTACTAGGTTAACAGACCACGAGAGAGACATGCAGTGAGTCCTATAACTGCTCAGTTATTTCAGAGTCATTCTGAATTCATATTGTTTAATTCATTAAAAAAAACAACATAAGAATTAAGCCAAAATCCAAATAATAACGATATGAATTAATGAGGGCACTGTACAGTGTACCTCTAACTTTATTGAAAGCATTCTTTCCATACTTATCTCTTGTGTTATCCTTGTAAAAGTTTTATAAATATTTCAGTGCATTAGATTCAATAATGAATTTTATCCCACTTACATTTATGACCCATAATGAGAAAGATATACTATAGGTGCCATCCATTGACAAAATTTACCAGCACCATCGAGAAATTGTGAGAATTGGAGCCACGAGAGAGGAAGTCGGTATACCTGTATTTTAATATAATGTACTGAGAAAACTGGAAACTGTAATTGAGGATGCTGCAAATGAGGATGGGCACATGTATTTCAAAAGTACCCTTTACACCTGTACTATGATTTTCATAGAAATGAAGAAACAGTATTATGAACACAGTGAAATTAAGATGCCTGTATCTAATCGGCAAGTCTCACCTGACAATATATCTAACAAAGGCCTGTCCTTTTGGGTAGCGTCCAACACTTGATACAATCACTACTGGCCAAGACGGATGTTCAACATCTATCCATGTAACTCGTCCATTGTCAATAGCCAATATGCGATACCTGCAAAGATCTCGATCAGTAATTCCCAATGACGTAAATTGCTCTGAAGTCATTATGGATTCCTTCAATGAAAATTGAGTAATTTATCTGATGTCTCCATTTTATCACCAAGTATGGATCAAATGACTCATGCATAGTCTACAAATATACTGTACTGTATATCTATAAGTTTGGTAGTGCAGGGTTTTATATATATATATATATATATATATATATATATATATATATATATATATATATATATATATATATATATATATATATATATATATATATATATATATATATATATATATACCTGTGTATATATATACAGTATATAAATATATATACATACATATACCAATACAGTGCTGTACTGTATTTGTATTTAAAAAGTATTTCTCACACTTAATACCAAATTATTTTTAGAAGTCATCATAATAATAATGATTTCTGATGGAATATTTACAGAAACATTTGATAAGGGAGAAGGTGAAAAAAGCAGCATACAATAAACTCACAGGAACAGTGGATATATGAAACAACATTGTCTCAGGAAGCACTAGTGTCACACAGTGGATTTTGGAAATAACAGGTATGAACACTGAAGCTCACCAACTTATCCACAAATTTAAAATCAGAAAAATGCTGAGGTGTCTGAGGCTCTCAGATGTGTGGAAACAGAATTAGTGAGAGTGTACAGTACTGTAAGATGAATTTGCTTATCTTCTTGTTACCTGTGATTAAAAAACCAGTCAGCTAGTTCCACTTCCAAAAGTCCAGAAGTATGTTTGGTCCACATGGTGTCAACAAACCCAAAACCAGTGTGAAGATGCCCACACAGATATGCTGCTCCCATGGCCAGCAACTTCCGTACATCCTTTGAGGATATGATGGTGCTTGTTGGGTAATGGCCGTAGAAAACAACAATGTCACCCCTGGTTCGTGCCTCTGGTGAATATCAAATAATCCATTAATTTAATTTCAAATATGTATTGCTCTCATGATGAGTGAAGGACTTAACATGAAATCTCATTTTATGGCTGAGCCTGAAAATAAACAGCACAAGTATATGCATGTACTACACCATCAGCCAGGACACCTTGACATTAGAGGCCAGGACTAATCTATATAATTATTAATCCTCTCCTACAGCAACTATAACTTAAGAAGGGATATATGGATGTTTAAGCTTTTTTCTTGTGAACAATAAAAGGATAAGGTTGGGTGAGTACTGACATCATAGAGCTATTGTGCAGTGGGTCAGATTTACACATTAACACCTTGCCAGTCACCTTGTTGTGGGCTAAGTCAAAGAGGGATTTCAGGATCAATCTCCCATTTATGACCAGCTGCCCTTCAATTGGCAGCTTGATAGAAGCCCAGCATGAAATAGGAAGAGGTTATAGAAAAAGTTCCAACAGCTAATACAACAATGCACCTCACTGGAAAGTTGACCCTATTTTAAAATAACTTTTTATTATATCTGAGATGAATAGATTCAACCACCTGAGATTAAGACCGACTCTTTGACCTCTTAAGAGTGTTGGTACGCTCATTCCTGATCTATGAATTATGTTCTTACCTTACATTTCAGAAACATTATTTATTAGAAACTGCAATCATGTTGGTCCATGTCATATTAATGAATAAAGTTTACCTTGGGCTGCTCCCTGTAACTCTTTAAATTCTTCTTCTGGAAGATATCCTAAGAAATTGTAAGCCCTGATTCCTGGCTTTAGAGATGCATCCAAAGGAAGCAGGGTAATATTTTGTCCATCACTGCCTCGAATAACTGTAGCTTTTGCAGTTTGAGTAGCACTGAAATCCACTTGCATGGCATGTGCTTTGAAGTGAGCCTGTTGCACCTCATTAAAGTTATCTGTAAAGAAACAAACATGCATTGGCCTTTATTCTGACATGTGTATACTACAGTATATAATATGCTGAGTTTATAAGGGTGAGGAAGATAAGCTACTCTAGAGCCAAAATACTGAGGCAGTAAAAGCAAATCAACACCATCAATTTTATAGTACCTCTTAATTTGATAACAAAAGTAACAGAATTACTGTATCTAAGTAGTGTTGTTGCGGGTCGTGCGGGTGTGTCATGTTGCATCTCTGCAACAAAACGTGGAGTGAATTCATAAGAACATCAAGATCGTATTGGAGATGTGAATGTGTCAAACAATGCAACATTTTTTTTTTATTAGCAATTTAAGATTGAAATATTTTTTCTGCTTGATTAGAGCTTAACTGTTTGAGCACAACCATAAAATCAATGTCATATCCCAAGACATTTCATCTTATCTCCACAATTCCTGAGTTTACCACATGCACCACTTACCAAGATGTTTAAATGCTCAGCAGCTGCTTCTCCTTCCAGTTTAAGTGAAAAATTAAAGAGGAAGAAGTTTAATTTAGAATAGAAAGTTAAAATTTGCGTATGAAAACCCCAAACGTGTTAAACATTGTTTGGTGAAATTTTCATATGCCAAATCTGTGGGATGCTTGGTCAGTTAGAGGCAGCAGGCTGTGATGTATTTTTGATTTTGCTAATTTTCTTTGTTTTTGCAAAATTTTATGTATTTTCCCAAGGTGTACTAGAATTCTGTACATTTCTTGTGAGTCATTTTGTATGTAAATAAACCCATTAAGCATTGTTTTCTGTTATGCCATCACTCCTCTTTATCAAGATTCTGCCACTAGTCAAAATAAGAGATGAGGCTTGATCATGATAGCATAGAGAAACACACCCCTGCCACTAGTGGTCACATCTATAAGCAGGGTAAACCTTATAACAATTTGTTACTTCCCCCAGGTTCTTAATAATAAGCCTCATTAACTCAAACTAAATGGGTTTCATAGTAAGGAGAAATCATACAGTGCATAAATTAGTATAATAAAATTAAAGAACGTATATACAAGGAACATGTAAAGGAAAAACAATGAGATATTGAGAGCCGCAGCCTAAATCAACCTAAGCCCTAACATCAGCCTTAATATGCACTTGAACAGTACAAAAAGTATACACCACTTATCTCCACAATAATATCCTGAGTCCAGACCAACTGAACTACAACCTCACACCAGCCAGGCACGTCTACTTCTTTCTCACAAAGATACATACGACATCAGGATGTACACCACTTAAGTACTGTTCAAGGCCAATAAGCTCACTTAATTACAGTAGTCAAAATCACTAACTCTACTAGAAGAAAACCATCCATTTTTAAGCTTAGTATTCAAGTGGGCATATTCAATATACGTCTGGCTGGGGTCTTTCTTAGCATTTCTAAATAAAATTCTATATTACTCTGCAGTTACTTGATAACATTTCAGGATTGACTCCTTAACTTCGTTATAGTTTGATTGTTGTGTGGAAGACAAAGACAAATAAGTAGAACGACCTTTACCCATTAAGACTGTTTGTTTTAGTAATTGCAAATATTCTCTGGGCCAATTTAAACAATTTACAACATTCTCAAATTGTAGGAAGAATTCTTCAGGATCAAGTTTCTTGAAAATGAGGTACAAGTTTCACATGCTGTGTAATATTAAAAGTTTCCCTAATATTTCTTCTATCCTCCTCCTCAGTACTTAAATTAAGCTGAGCTTTCCTTTCAAGCAATGTTAACTGAAATTCTCTCTCTTTCTCTTTATCTTTTAACTTTTCCCTTTCTAACTACAGTCCCTAACCCCCTTATTTTGTATTGAATTACTGGTATATTTAGTACAAGTCTTTTTATTGCAATTTTTCATTTCACAAACATTCTCGGTCCCTATCACATGAAATAACACAAAACTACTGTATCAGTTACAAATATAGTTTTCAAAAGAAAACTGAATTCACACAGGTTACCAAAATATGAAGTAGAGTAACTTGGAAACTGTGAAGAAACATGTTGCAGGTCTCCCTTAAATGAATCTCAGCAATTATCATACACATGACTACAAACGTACCGTACAGTACTTTCCCATCCACCATTATGCTCTGATAACCCTTTGCATCTCATTCATGTAAAAAAATCAAAAATACATTTGTGCTCAGTGTAAATCACCAAGGTTGCCTCTTTTTCTCACCATGGTTGCCAGCAATATCCAGCCAGAGCGTTGAACTGTTAACAGTGAGTCTGTCCTTCACTGATCGCTGATAAATGGACCATTCCTGAGGAAGTTGTGCCAGCTTAACGCCATGAGTCTTGCTATTAGTCAAATCACCTGAGTAAAGAGAAAAGATTGAAATACAGTATTTTCACAACCTGAAACTATTCAAATATACTCAACAAATGTATTCAAAACATGTCTGTAAGACTGAGACTTTAATAATGGGTTATTTTGAAATTCTGACAGTTCTCTACAAGAGGGGGGGGGGATGTTGCCAGATAATTTGACTCACACAAAAACCATAGGTGTGAACGAATACCTATGGGCGACTGTACATAATATAAGTTGCTTGTATGATGAGTGCATTCTATATTTAATTAGCTATCTTTTGGTGTATGGAGAACAAAGAAATGTTATGTACTTATTTGCTGTACAATACACAAGATGGTGGCGACTGCCCAAGCGGCTAACGAACCGATTAGTGGCGAAGAGGATAAAAGTAAAAGTGTGATGGTGAGTGTAAATGGGTATACAGTGGGGTATGCTATAACGAACGGATCCTACTACGAATATTCCTATAACGAACGGTTTTACCTATAAAATTGAGAATGCTATAACGAACGAAACTCCTACAACGAACATTATTTAATTTTTTTTTTTCTAATTTATTGTTTTTTTATTACAAATATTAATGATATTCTTTATTTCAGGGGTTTAGATGCATATTTATGCACTTTTTTACAATTTTTACAATTTTATATTATATTTTTCAGTGTTAAGTGGTTGTATTTGGGGGCCTGGAACGGATTAACCCTATAACGAACGAATGCTATAACGAACAAGGTTCTAGAACCAATTAGATTCGTTATAGCATACCCCACTGTACCTGTAACAAGAACAGCTGCTGGCCTCAAGATGGAAATAGCATCATCGACAAACTCTTGGAAGTGCTGCACCTCATCTACTTCGCCCATATGTAGGTGAAGGTCCGAAATCTGCAGTGACAAAATTATCAGTAACGTAAATTTTCCATCTGTAATGAGAAATATAATATCAGCAATTTAAACAATGTTATTCAATGGCCACCCATCAAAAATTTATAAAACATTTAACATTACTCACATCTGCATTTTTTTAATTCATATACAGTACTGTAACAGGTTTTACCTGCAGATTCAAGATTCATGGTATAGTATTGTACTGCACTGTACATCATATATCACACACATTGTTCTGTATCAGGCCTGAACTCCACCACAGAATCTAATGAACTTGTAGCAACATTTGAAAGGCCTGAGAACACAAGTCTGCACATGACAAATATACAAACTATAGGTTACAATATACTGTACTGCATACATCTTAGTACAGTACTAAAACACTGTGTCAATTGCTTCACTCACCTGAACCAACCAAGTAAGTCCTCTTTGACTATCTTTATTGACTTTTTCTTCCCATTCCTTGCGAGAATACTGCAGGTAGCTCGACTCTGAGTACTGATGGGCGCGGTATAATCCATCATTATACTCAAAGTGTTTAAGATGTAATTTTCCACCAAGTGACCTAATGACCAGTAATGACATGGACAGCAGGAAGAGAGCAGTGGCCACCACCAAGTAAATCTTTCGTCCTCTTGGTGATATGGCCCTTAACCATATACTAGCCATCTGCAGGTACAACAGTTAACAGACTAAATTATAAATATAAACAGTTTTCCCAGTCCCAAAAAGTTTACCATGTCCTTTCAATTATGAGTACTGTAACTATTACAGACACTTTGCTAACTAGAAATACACACACACCTTATTATCTCAAGGACCACTAGACACTGAACAGCTCTAAATTATATACTACATTCATTAGCTGACCCACCACAAAATAGAAGTGCAAACCCATATAATGAAACAATATATGACTTATATGAGATAACATGGACCAACCTCACCTACCTGACAATGATACCTGTAGTACTGTAGTATATTTCATCTTATCATAAATCAAATGGTGTAGCAAATAATTGGAGCATTCATACATAAAATAACCACTGGAAATAAACATCTCATGGCTTTATCGACTATTAGTGGTTCAAATTGACTTAATATCATATAATTTTTATAAACCAGGAGGCCACAAGCTCACCAAGACATAGACAACTACAATAAATATATCATCACTTTACTAACAACACTTGCACAGTACCTCAGATTTTGTGTTTGTAGGATGTCCGTGTAATAGAGGAAGCTGAGATAGTGGGTGTAGATAATATACTACATGTTGGCAAATATTACTGTCAGTCTGTCAGTCACCACAGCTGATGGTGACGTCTTCTGCACACTTGACGTACGATTAATTTACTTAATTTTATATCATATTATATTTTACTTCATTTTTTAAAAGATATGTATTTGCTTTTAAAGTGATAATTAAAAACCAGTTACATGAAAATTACAAATATCTATGTTTTAGTTGATAATGTTGAGTATATTAGATATGTTTTACGAAATTCAATATTTTATGGCAACCACAATAAACATGGATGGTGTTCTGTAATATATTCGGGAATTATATCTTGTTACTTTTGTCGGGATTATATTCTTCAATTAAGGTCTAGATAAGTTCTAGATTTATTTAAATATATAGTCATTCATATCTGAGAACAGTTTTGAATTCTTCAGACTAAAGCGTATGAAAGATGTACAAGCAATGTAGTGTAAAGTAAAAAGAAAATCAGTGTCAGTGATTCAAATATTAAATGTTAAACAAAACCTTTTGATCTATTGCAACTGTTTCAGAGATTATGAGCATTTTAATTTCCCCACCAATGACTGGGCTCAAACTTCTCCAGCTTTACCTATATTTCCCAGCTTTTAACTTAGGTTTACTAATTACTAATTATGATATAATTTTTTTATTTCAAATTATGCAGAACAAATCATGTTATTGTATCCCACCCCCACACCCACACCCTCATCTGTGGGTAATATCCTGGTAATGGTGATGGCGGTCGGTGGGTGGCAGCAGTCAGCCTCTGGACAATGGTGGGCAAGTAGTGACCGGAATGGTAGAGAGATGAATGACTTAGCCCGTAAGGTAGACGCCTCATTCTCGCCTAAATCCTCCCCCAGGGGCTCGAGATCACCCATGGCCAACCAAATGCTGTCAAGAAATGATTCCACTGGTACTCTGAAAATGACCATCTCGGCCGGGAAGCACCCTGCAGTTGTTCACTCTGGGCCTTTCTATCTCATGAAAGTAAGTATATAATGGCTCTTGAGGACGAGTATATCACTATTTTGTTAATGGAAATGGTGAATGAGGCCGCTACTTTATTGCTTTGATTTTTTTTTTGACGGGACTACTGTAATTTTGCTATTCACTTTTGTACCTTTGTTAATTTATTCTTTGTCATAGAAAATTGGTTGTATTTATCAAGACTCAATCTTGTAATACTTTACGATGCCGACTCGTGAGACTGAACAATTTTAGGAATATTTTCTGTAGATTAATTTTTGTTAACTTCAATATAAAAATAAAACATAAAAGTGGAGAAATTTCATATTTCTTGAGTTTTCCCTAGTCTGTGTACAGGGTCCTCTCTGTGCTGAATACAATTGTCTGGTGTTAGCTAAATAAGGTGTGGTTAACGTGTAGATTAATGCTGCCAACGATTCTAGCAAGAACACACTGCTTTTCCACCATAATTTTTTTTAATTGCTTGTGAGTGTTCTCTTTTGGAGAAGTTTCTTTTTTATAATTTATAACCACTCGGGGGGGGGGGGTCACGCCCCACTAAGGGGTAAGGTTAAATTAGGATAAGTTAAATACTGACATTATATAATACTCCTGGGGGGATCGAGGGGGGTGAAGCCCCACCCCACTAGGGAGTTAGGTCAGGATGTTAGGTTAAGTTAAACAAGGATAAGTTAAATACTGACTACATTACATATCCACTCGAAGGGGGAGGGGTCAGGTTAGTGCTTCTTTTGTGTACATAAAAGCAGCAAAAACATTTTTTCCTGCATAAATTTAGCTGTTTTATTTACTGGAGGATGTTGATTTCTTCAAAAAAGCTGAAAAAACTAAAGATATCATCTTTAAGATAATGTGTTCATCACTTTATTCAGTTTTCTGGCTTTGACCTCTATAGTAGTGATTTATTTTAGTGGAGTCAGTTTGCACATTATGAGTTTTCCAAAATATTACAACAAACAAAATTAATTTTGACATATATGAATATTTCAGAATCAAAATCCTTACCAAGAGTCCCTTTCTGTTCACTCATTGGCAGATGTAAGTACAGTACAATACAGTATCCCCACTATTACCAACTAGACCACAATACTGTACTTACTTGCACAGTATACCCCCGTGTAACAGGAATTCTGGTTACGGAAATTCACCTTCATGGACATTGTAAATCACTTCAGTACCACTAAAATCAGGATACGGAATTTAGCTAAATCTGCCATTACGGAACTTTAGAAAATAAATTACAGTACTGTATTTTTTTTTAATCTCCAAATGCGAAAAAAAGTTTACCCAAATTTTTTTTTTATTTTAAGAAATTAAGATCGCATTTGTGTGCATTGATGGTGTTGGTGGCAGGCTTTGTTTTGAATCTGGGAGCGCATTGGTTACAGTCTTACCTCCACGTCTACCTATTGGTCTTTCAAGATTTTTCCATGCTCTGAATGTAAAACCTGATGTTTTACGAATATTGGATACTGGAGGCGCCATTCCTGAAACTTATGTAATTACTATTATTTGTGGTAAGTAAATTACAAAATGTCTAAACTGTACTATAATTAATATATGTGTTTAAGAGATGTATAGTATATTTCCATTTAAAAGCGTGTTTTTATTACTTGTGTTTAAAAAAAAAATGTGCCAACGCATCTTCACTTTTAACATGGGCGTATATGGGGGAAAATGGTTAACGTTATGGTCACTTTTTCAAGAACACATCCATTCCATAACACTGGGGTCCAGTATAATTAGTAGCTGCCACCTACTTATCAATGCTACCAGTAATATTTTGTGAAATATCACTAACTGAATCCCCTCTGCATCTTGTTGTGTCATCTTTGTTTAGTTCAGAACTTGATTATACTGTTCCTGTATAAAGTGTGATAATTTGTACTAAATATAGTGTAACTACCCTACAGGACACAAATACAGAAAGTAAACTATGATTCTTCGCAGTGACTATACCGATAGTTTGACCCCTACAGGACCCAGCCACAGAAAATGAGCTGACTGGTGCAACAAACTTGATGGCCCACTTCAACCTTGAACATTCCTACAACAAGTTCACAGGCAAAAAGGTGAGTTCTAATTTTCATAAATGGGCAACAGATTTGTAAAGTTCCAGTGTACAAGTGAAGGCAGCCTTGTAGAGAAGTGACAGCGGACAGTGACCCCCACACCACCCCCACACTCCCCACACTAGTCTTAATACACATCATCTCATGGGCAAATGAAGTTGAGCAGCAATTCCTACACCACACTTGTCCTGGTTGTAGGTACAGTATTATGTAACCATATAGATAAGTGAAGGTGGACAGCAATCTACACTCGTAACAGAACTAGTGATGTATAATACACTGTATGCACTTTGTCACATATTTATAGTGTAATAGTACCTGCATGGTTGACATTTATGGTCATGATGTGAAAACATTAGAATACTTGTACTGTACGTGTGTGACACAGAGGCATAAAATCTGCAGTATCCCAAGCCAGGATGAGAGATAGCAGTGAGGAAATGCAATCAAAGTTTTCAAGGGAATGAAAGGTCTTCCCAGCCTCAACCCAAGTATACATCAAATAGAATCACATAACACAATACAATACTATGGTAAATGTATAAGTGGGTCTCCAGCATAACAAGTACATTAACAACTTTTATTACCATAACAGTACGGTACTTATCACAGCATAACAGAATACCAGAGGCAGTCTGCAGTACAACAACTATGAATTAGTCTTAAAGCTTTTATAACTGATGGCAATGATACTTGCCTCTTAAGCTTGATAATAGTCATATGTTGACAGCTCAGTTTCTGTGGTTATGACTGAAGGTAAAAATGAATAATCTTTGAATGAGATTATAGAGTAATAGAATCTGAGAGGGCAGGAGCATGGACTTCTCTTTTGGTCTATAAGTGTTTGGATCATATACAGTACTGTAATGTATATACTGTTGGCTCTGACACCTGACAATAAACCTTATTAGTTTAGGACACAACCACAAGATCAGTTGGGATTGAATCTTTGACATAGATTTGGCTTTGTAGGAAGTCCATCTGGACAGTGTGTCCTTCCATCAGACATGTCAAAGACTACTGGTAATAAATGGGTTCTACCAAAGTATAGTTTTGCAGTAGCTGCAGTATTACAATAAGTGTTACTCATATCATTACCTCAATTGTAAATTGGGATTTCAAGGTTCAATCCTTTATTTGTCTATATGAAACAGTGAGACTCCAACAAATGTTCATCTGGTGTCATCCAAACATCTAGCTTTAAATATAAATTTTGTAAGTATTATAAGTTGTATGTTTTAAATTCATAATAATCATAAGGCTTTGTATGAATGGTCATCAAAGTATAATTCTAGAACACTCGTGATCATTGACCTTGAATGATTTGAATAGATTGCTTAGGGTGTTGAAAATATAAGATCATTATCAAACGTAAAAACTTTTTATTTTTATTACGTCTTGTTACCAAGGTGATGTAACTCGCAGTCTCCTTTCCCTCAGGTACGAGATTCATTGTCATCCTTTCTGCCTACTCTTCCTGGCATCATCGACACACCTGCACACCTCACAAATTCATCACTCCGATCACTCATTGAAAAGCCACCGGTCTTCAAAGAATTTACCTTACTTAATCATCACCAGGTGAGCATAATGTTTGATTGAAAGTTTTGTCTATATACTGTACTGTACTTTCATAGTTCTTAAGTTGAAATGATTAGAATATTGTTTAATTAATATTGTACTGTATTGTCATTATAGTTTCCAAGAAAACTTATCTTAGTAACCCCGACATGGGCTTTTAAGTATTAGGCGAAGTGTAATGGATTTTTGTCTCTTTGATCTTTGCACCTTTAAACTGTTTACATAACCCCCAAATTTGGCATGACTTTACCAGAAGAGTGTCTCCCTATTTTTGTATGGGAAGTACAATGATATCTCCGTTAGCCGGAACAATTGGTGCAGAGCACTTCCGGGAATGAGAGATTTCCGGGTAACAGAATAATGTTCTCAGAAGTTCCAGAAATTGCCCATTTGTATCTCTCGAACCCGGAAAAATATCCCCCATTCCCGGAAGCTTCTGGGCACCGCAAAATTTTTCTCAGAATTTGTGGAAAATGCACTTGATTTTCATCCATCAAACCTGGAAAAAAACTCCGCCATGCTTGGAATTTTTCAGGATTTTGCAGGTATCTAGAAAATTTTCTCAGAATTTTCCGGTAAATGTACCCCTCGGAAAATCGTTCACATAGCCGGAAAATTACGGCTTTGGGAAAATTTTTTTTTAGAAAATTTCAGTTCCGACTATCGGAGAGTTCTGGGTTTGAGGGATTCTGGCTTACGGATGTACAGTATTACCCATTGGTGTAATAAAAATCAGTAGCCTGCTTTGTTCCAACATTCCTGAAGGCATCCAGGACACCAGAGCTATGTTCTTCCCCTGGTTCTGGCATGGGCTGGCATGCTACCTGTACAGAGGGTATAGTTGGCCATATAAGTTTGCAGAGACCCAGCAAATATAGGGTAGAGCAATGTATCTGGTGTCGGTGTAAAAATCTCGCTTCCAAACTCACGATATACCCATACCTGTAACTCAAACGAGGCCTCCCCTATTCTCTCCTGCCCACCCTTTACTTGTTCGGTCTCTGCGAATTTATTTGGCTGTACCAGATGAGCATTTCACAGACTGGGCTTCCACTTAACAGCACAGGACGTCCTTTCTATATGTTGTACCGGTTTATGTCATTTTACATATACGTACATCTCTAACATACATAAGTCTGTGTATACTCAATTATGATGCATAAACAGTGTTAAAAGCCTCTTAATATAATGTAAAAATAACCTAAGTAAGTAATATAAATGCTCTATAAGCACACCAAAATAAGTCAGTAACCTCTGACATGACTACACGCTAATGCCATTGTTATGTGTAAGGAACCACAGAATTTTCAGAAAAGTAATTTTGGTGTGGTAGTGTGACCTATGAATAAAGAAATACTGTATACTGTGCAGTAATATAATGATATAAAATGGTTGTAGGAGTATATTCTGTGTGGGTGAATGTCAAGACTGGAAATCACCAAGTGCCATTGTTGCATAAAACCATGAAAGGTGTGGAAACAACATTTCAATACTCTACTGTGACTTAGAAATAATTAAAGTCACCTATTATATAAAGAAAAATGAAGAGTGGGAAGTGATTTCTCGGTGGGAGGTATGGTGGGTGAATGGCTGGAGGACCGTGACAACTCCCTCCCTAGACCCTCTGCTTCAGCAAGCTCGCAACCTCTTTAAGACAACAGTACGGGCAGTCCCTGAGTTATGACCCTCCAACTTATTATCATCTGCACTTATGACTGGGATCCCAATTTATTCATCGCAAAAATTTTAATTACAATCCAATTTTTACATAATTTTTAAATTGTGTGTACTGTTTAACATCACTTTATTTAAAGTATTTACACTATTTGTTATGTATGGGATATTATGGATGTTTTGTGTGGGCAGGGTTGTGACTTATGAACAAATTGACTATTGATCAGGGTCCAGGAATGTATCCCCGTTTTAAGTCAGGGACTGCCTGTATGCAATTTTACCGTAATTCCCGTATTATTTAGGTTTATAGTATTTGGTGCCAGGTTAATAAAACATTATCGTAAAATAATAAATTTTCGTGAAAAAATCCCACATTCAACCCGATGAGTTTTGTGTCTTATTAAATTGCCAGTGTCTTGTTTACATAGCACAAACAGCTGATCACTCTCACTCTCCTTTTCCATGTTGCCAACACTCTCCATCTCTCTTGCTTACCACAACATCTGTACATTTTGTAAATAATATTGTACTGTAGTGTATTATGCATCTGTATATATCCTTGTTTATTCATTAATCAGTTGTCTAACTGTACAAGTAGTCAAATTGAGCCATCATGTATCACTCAAAGGTATTAAATGCTGTAATGTTGTTTGGAATGCATCTCCATATCAAATACTTTACAGTACTGTATGTTATGACCAATGAAAGCTGATTTGATGAAAGCACTCCCTCCAGGAACATATCCTGATATTTCAAGGGGTATTACTGTACATGTTTAAATGCGTATATAGGTATCCCTCATTTAACGATCATTCACTTAGCAGTATAAATTTTTAGCACCCTTTCTTGTTCAACAATGGTCAATTTTCGGTTTAGCAATGTTCAGACTCAAGGTGACTCATGTTGTGAGAGAACAGCGCAGTGTTGGGCCTAAGAGCTGGTGTTGGCAAATGACATACCCACTCATGCTGCCATCTATTGAGGTCAGGGGAACTATGTTTTCATCAACTGATCGACTGTCTTCATTTGATATTTATTTATTAAAATTTTAAAAACATGTTTAATTAAACATAGCTGCGGTATTAAAAAGTAGTGTCGTCAAACATACCTGGGTTATGTAAATGATACTTCTTTTTAGGTATACAAGCATCACTGACACTTGATGGTGAAATTGGTGATTCAAGCTCTGGAAAGTTATTGGTGATTGTAATTGTTTGTTTTTTCTCTTTTATTGAAGGTGTACCTCCAATTACATTTTCTAACATTATATTTATTGGATTTGTACATCTTATGCAGTCTGCAAAATGCAGAATAACAAAGGACTGGAACCTATTCCCCTTTACTCCATGTTAAATCTACCTCTGACACCAACGTTTCTGAGAATGAAGAGTATGTTGTGAACATAACCACTTCATTGCCAGAGGTCTACCTGTACTGTGTGGTGACTTAATCAGTTATATTGGTGTACCCTCTGAGGGTTTTGAAGGTGTTTATAGTAGAAAAAGCTATGGTACAAGGATTATGGAAGGTGAAAGAATACTTAAATTCGGGGATGTGTTGAATATGGTTCTCTGCAACACATTGTTTAAGAAGAGGGCTAGGAGGCTAATTACATAGAGTCAGATGGTACATTATATTTGTCAGGAAATCAGATAGGAACCTCTTTAGGATATAAAGGTTATAGCACATTATTTTTGTTTGACATGTTGCTTAAAAGATGCAGGCAAAGGAAGATGTATGTTCTGATGAGAGTGGAAATTGAAGGTACAAAATGTAAGGGCAGCATTTTTATTCTGTGTTGAGAAGAGTGGAATCAGCCAGCGACTGTGTAAAGGGTAGTAGCGAGATACTGGGTCAAAATAAAGGATGTTATGCTAAACACGGCTGACATGATGTATGTGTAGATTAAGGTCCCAGCCAGATATGAGGTAATGTGGCAGAATGATGGAGTGGATATAATATTAAAGGAGAAAAGAAGAGTGTATAAGGCCTGGGAGATGGGTGGCAACATAGAGGAGTGCCTGAAGGCCAAGTACAGGGTCAGAAGAGGTTTATATGACTTGAGACCAGGATGCATTTGTGGATATGCTGAATAATCCCAGTAAAGAGGCAATGTATAAAGAATAGCAAGGTAAATACAGTAGTGGGTAGAAGACAGATACAGGTATTGTTGGTGAGCAGTGCAAGAGGGGGTGACCTTGGTAATATGGTTGTTGTTGTTAAGAAATTCAAGGATACTTGGAGAAAATACTACTGTCAACTGTTGTATGTGGAGCATGAATGGGACAATGGCAGCCTAGGGACAGCACAGCCAGTTTAGGGACCATACCTAGGGATTAAAAGAGAGTGGGTGAAGAAAGCAAGTGACAAAATGAAAAATGGACTGGCAGCTGGAAGCACTGAAATAATTGCTGAAGTGCTGAAAGCATCATATGATGTCATATAGTCAATGGTGGATAGCATCATCATAATGGTTTCATCGCCATTTTTCATGCTTGCATGGGTCAGCCACAGTTATGGCAGCTCTCCATGCTGCATAGTCTCTTGCAGTCTCTCTTGTCAGGTTTCTAACTCTTAATGTCATTTCTTACAACCTCTCCTCATGTCATTCTTGACTTACCCTTGACTCTCTTCCCTTCCACATCTAGGCTCATGCTACTTCTTAACCCACTTGGCCTCATCCATTCTTTCCACATGCCCAAACTATCTGAGCCTGCCTCTACACAGAATTTTGCTAATATACTCTCAATACCTAGCTGCCCTCTTAGCTCTGAACAGCACCTCCTGTCTTTCAGTATCACATTATACATCCACCTCACCATTCTCATTTCAGCTCACTCCAGTCTACCTATGTCATCCTCTTAAACTGCCCATGTTTTTCTACCATACAACATCATACTTTTCACACCAGCCGTATTCATTCTTCCATTCACTTGGAGGGCAGGTCCTCTTGCCTTCGGTAAAGACAGCAACTCCCTAAACTTCCTCCATCCATTCTGCTCTTGCCAACTAAGCAGGCTTCAGCACCCCACTGGCACTGATCATGTCACCCAAGTAGCAGAACGAGTCGACGCAGTTCACGGACATAAAATATCCCCAAAGTTGAGTGTTTTGAGCCTTGCTGTAGGCACATGGTTACCTTTACATACAGAACACTTAGTAACATTCTCCATTGCACCTCTTGCTTACCCACCTTCCACATGTTACACATTATATTGAGTTGCTGCCCACACCTTTCTTGTATACAGCACATGGCCATTTTCCACTTTCCACCATGGGTCCCTCACCCACATCAATACTTTAGTTTTTGCCCCATTCTCCACTGCATTTTTGATACTATCTGTAAACTGCACTAAGTCATCAGCATACAACAACTCCCAGGGCCGGCCAGTCATAAAGTCCCATGATATTGCCTCCAGCAGACTCCTGATGGACCCCGATTTTCATATCAAATTCCTCACATTCCTCACTTTCACTCTGACAGAGGTTTTTGAGCCCTCGTATAATACGATGACCATTTGGACAAGGTACTCCTCGACTCCTAGTTTTCTCATAGCCTACTTTATTACTTCATGTGGTAGCATATCAAATGCCTTCTTTAAGTTTACAAATATGAAGTGCCTGTACAATTATCCCTCCTTCCCAAGACATTTCTCTTGTTGCCTAGCCATAAATATTACCTCTGTAGTTTCCCGACCTGTCATAAATCCAAACTGCATTTCGTTTGTCTACTCTTCCCCTTATCAATTTATCAAGTCACTTTCTACAACTTTCATAACCTTATCTAACAACTTCAGGCATCTTTAGATCCTGCATTCAAGTGCATCATCTTTACTTAATTGCTTTCTCCACCCATTCTCTTTCAATCCTTGGGCATGGGCTGCCCCTGTCCTATTCGTACTCCTCATCCAGTAATCGATAGTAGTATTTTCTCCAGGTATCCTTGATTTCTCGTTATCAACAATTACATCACCATGGTCATTTGTCATTGCTCTTGCATCTTCACTATTCAAAATACAATATCTGCAAATGTATCCTTATAAGCTTGCCCTTGCTTGGCCTCCAGGTACTCCTCCTTGTCATTACCCATCTTCCAGGCCTTATGCAATCTTTTCTCCTTTATCACTCTTTCTACTACAGAACAGTGATATCCCCGTTAGCTGGAACAACTGTTGCAGAGCACTTCTGGGAATGAAAGATTTCTGGGTAACGAGACGACTCTCAAAGCCGGAAAAAAAAAATCCCTCATCCCTGGAATTTTCCAGGTAACAGAAAAATGTTCTCAGAAGTTCCAGAAATTACCCATTGCATCTTCTCTCGAACCCGGAAAAAATTCCCTCATCCCCGTAATTTTCCGGGTAGTGTAACGGAAAAATGTTTTCGGAAGTTACAGAAATTACCCATTACATCATCTCTCGAACTGGAAAAGAAATCCCTCATCCCCGGAATTTTCCGTGTAACGGAAAAATTTTCTCGCAATTTCGAGAAAATGCGCCTGTTTTTCATCTCTCAAGCCTAGAAAAAAAAAATATCCCATCCATGGAATTTTCTTGAAAATGTGCCCCTCGGAAAATCTTTCCCTTTGGGAATGATTTTCCGAAAAATTTCAATTCCGCCTATCGGAGAGTTCCGGGTTTGAGGGATTCAGGCTAACGGAGATATCACTGTACAGTATATCATTCCAACACCATGTTACTGCATGCCTGGCTGAGCTCTTCATCCAGCCACACTTCTTACCAGCTGTGCTCAGCAGAACACCCTTTATTTTGTCTCAGCTTCTCGCTACACTATCCCTCCCACTGTTACTGGATGTTTCCAGTTTTCTCGACTCATTAAAAAATTCTTCTCATGTATTCTGTTCCCTCAACTTCCACACTCCTTGGAACATACATCATCTTTAAAACAATGTGTCGCACCCAAGCAATCTGTGCTGCACGGCAGCACATTATTCCACTTCTATAGCCTTCACATCCCTAACAAGCTTCCTATATAATTACCAACCAAGAAAGTAATCAATCTGTGTTTTTGTTCCACCTGACTCATATGTAATTAGTGTACTCACCCTTATTTCTTAATTAATAAATCTCTCCGCATGTTGTGGGACTCCTGTACTATGTCAACAAGGTTATGGGTTAATATCATAGGGTTTCCATGGCTCCTAACTTATGTGACTAGGACTACATAACAAAAATCCAGCTATAACCAAAGTTCGAAGATAGTACCTCTTCTAAGTAAACAGTAGGCCCTAAACCCTAAACAGGGTGTTACTTGGAGGATTCTTCTGTCATTTATTCTGACACCTAAGAGTCCTTGTCTGCTATACTAACATGCACATTGCATGTGCTCATACTCGGTTGGAAAACAGGTAACAGCTATGAGACACCTCAGTTGCCAGTCCTCTCTTATTATGACTGGATTTCTTGCAGTTTGCTCTGTTACTGTTAGCTAAATGCTTCCTATATCATTTTTGGGACACATATATCATATGTAGGTAGTAGGTTTTAGGCAGCTACCAAACGGAGGTACAAGTACTACTGCCTGGGAAGATATTGGAAGCATAATGTGTTGTCTATGGTAGGCCCTGATGTGGGTCAGTGACCTGTGCCCCCGGTTGGCTAATCCCATAAAAAAAAAAGCATTCATAAGCATAGTATCATATTTCAGATGTGTTTATCATGTTACAAGGCTTAGTATACAATGCACTGTTTCGACAGTTCACACTGTCTGTAATGGACAGTTTCTACCTATGGAACCCACTTTCAGGTTCCCATATCCCATGTTACATTTAGCAACTTAAAAATTTTCTCTCCATTTCCCTTTTCTTTCCTTACCATATCACATGTTTCATTCATAACTACCATTTACATTTGTTTACTTGGTTTGTAACCCCATGTAGGACTATCCAGAACTGTTTCTTGTTCTTCATAAAGCATTATAAAATCTTTCCCAAGCTTCATCTACTTGTCTTGCATTATATATTTATTCCTTTTGCATTTCTCTTAACATCCCTGTACTTCTCATTTCTTTCACCACTTCCTTGATAAGATGAATTGTAAGATCATGTAATAACTTTGATGTTTGTCTTTGTTCAACATATATTTACTTACACCTCATTATTGAGTCTACTGTACAGTATGTATGTGGATATCTTCACTTCTTTTTTCATGTGATTTTTTTTTAAATGTAGTGGATTAAATGTTTGCTATGACAGATACTGTTGCTTTATTGCCAGCTTGCTGCCTTTCGCCTTCACCCTGGCCCTCTGCCTGAACAATACCGTTTCATGAATCAACCTCCTGGCCAGCGGAAACACAGGAAGCACAAGAAACACAAGTACCGACCAGGTGAGACCCCAACACAGGATGGCTCTGCAGATGGAGCAGACATGCATGAGAAGAAACACAAAAAGAAAAAGAATGATGATGATAAGGAAAGGAAGAAAAAGAAGAAAGAAAAGAAAAAGAAGAAGCAAAAGCACAGTCCAGAGCACCCAGGAGTTTCTGGAAGTGATCCTAATAGAATTACTCTATGAGTATATAACATTGGAACTGTCAGGAGTTACCATCAATACATATACGTACTGTACTCTTATATTAGAGAAACATATTTGAGAGTTCATTGCCAGAAGATCTTCCTAAAGTGATGTTATCCAGTTTTAAGATCCAGTAGGGAAGTTGGAAATATTTTACTGAAAGAAGATTGGCCTTTTCTCATTTTTGGGTATAAATTATATATTTATATGTATAGTTTCATACCACATCTCATTTATAACTTTAATATTGTAATACTGCTTGATAGCTCTGTATTGGAAATATGCAATTGATTGAAGAATATTGTATGAAAAAATACTGAAGGAACTTCTTAATAATAGATGAAATAAGAATGGAAATGCAGAATATTGTTGAAATTTTATACCTTTGTGTTTTATTTGTTATGCATCTTAATACACTTCTTTTTCTCCCATCTGGAAACAGGTATATTTTGCATGGCTGTGGAATAATATAGAGGAAATATTAAAGACAGGGATATTTGAAATTATGAAACACAGCAAACTGGAAAGTTCCACGAGCAAAACCTAGTTCCCAAGACACATTAAATGCTTAAGAAATAGTACTGTCTGCACACCCACATCTTTCAGTTGTTTGTGGATACAGTACAGTACAGTATATGTAAACTGATTGTTATTCAATGTAGCAAGTCTAGTATAATACAGTAATTCGAGAAGGTTTACCTTTGAAGTACAAAAAATTGCTTTTTACAAAATTATCCTTGAATCACAACTATCCCTGGCCAAACATTAGAATACCACATTCTGATACAGTATGTAATGCTAGTTCAGGTTGACCCTCTCTTATTTGCAATTCCAGTGACTGGCAACTCCCAATTAATGGCACTATCACCCACTATGTAGATGTCCAGGTGACCGCAGAGCCAGTTCCACCATTATAAAACAAAGTAATAATAATACGATAAAACATTATATCAAATAAGACTCATGTTCAGTGGCAGTGTGTCTATTTGGGCTGAAGCCAAAGCTACACTGCAATGGTAGATGTACAATACAGTATTTTGATTCTAATCTTGAAAAGAGCTGTGTCAACTCATACACAAATTATTTTATATTGTTCCCAACAAAATACAGGGTACAGATATTTAAAATAAAAAGATGAAAACACACTTTAAACTTTACATAAGGAGGCCCATATGGGTGACCTTACAGCTGCAGCATGGTGCTGCCAGTTATGGCAATTATATAGTACCACATCTGACAGCTAGACATTTGTTTTTTAATTTGTAATATCCACCATTTGTCAACTTAACTGGTACTAGCCATTTGGGCAGTCAGTCTGTTTTTTGTTATAACTTCAGTTGTGCATAATGAGTACAAAAAAGACACCAAACACACATTTTGTCAAGAAATGGTGTAACAAGGTAATTTTTATAGGTGAAAGTAGACATTATTAAATAAAGTGGGCATGGTGAAGGAGCAATAGTTGATGAATGGCAGTGAAATGGAAAATATAATGCACACACTTCTCAATAAATTATTCCTCGCCATAGATTAAATAATTATTTTATACATTTTGCAGTTATTATATGCTTGTGGTCTTAATATCAAAAGTGGTAAAAGTGATTGTAAATGGATATGCTGGCTAGCTGATGTAGGCTGGTCATGGTGGTGGTTGGTCAGTTGATGAATGGCTGTGAGATCAAGATTATACACCTTTCCTTTGTACATTATTACATTCACCAGGAAATGTTTATTCATCTTAAGTGTGCAGTATCTGTACAATAATTTTTGGGGGATACATGGTTGAGAGAATAACACTAGTGTGTTTGATGACAGGATCATGAGTGTTTTACAAGTGCCCAACTATGATATAGTGTAGCCTGGGATGCAAGGATTTTACACACTATTCTTTAAATATTTTATTATTCTATTTACTATACATTTATTAAATATTATTATCACTTTACATGTTGATTGATTAAATTTATTCACTTAGATGTTTGTACAAAGAAATCCATAATGTTACGGCGCATTAGGGTAAGTGTAGCCTAGGCTAATGCACCATTAATTATCAACCATTTATTATTTTAATAAGGATTTTCATCATTCAGCAAACCCCTGGTCCTAGGGTTGCCAAATAAGAGAGTCAGCCTGTATTTGCTGGTGTCCACAATACTGTACAGGTACAGTACTAACAATAGAAATACAGTAAAGTCTCCTTTCATGGGATTAATTGGTGTGCAGGTAATCTGATTATGAGAGAATTCTAAATGCTCCTTTAACCAGACAAATTTCTCCCTTAACTGGTTATTTTCCAGTTAATCATACAGTGGCCTCAGAGGCACCAAATCCTAATGTGCCCCAATCTTATTTGCACCCAAGCTTTGGGTTCAATCTCCATTTTCCATCAAATTGTGTCTTAATTTGATGTGGAGCTCATTGAGCTCCAAGTCTTAATGGGTCCCAAACTTAGTGCCACTGTTAAATATTTAATTGTTTTATACAGGTTGAATCCCTCTAATCTGGCACCTCAGGACCTGACAGGTGCCAGACCATACAAATTTCCTAACCACAGACCAGTTAAAGTCTACTTTACCGATAGCCTGTACGTTAAGAAGATAAATTAGATCATTGTTTGGAAGGTTCTCAAATAATCTATTAGTATAACTCATGTGGTTCTCCCAACAGATAAATGATTGAGAGCACAGCTACAAAATTATGATTTTCTCCTGAATATAAACACAATATTAATGAGTTTCATTAACTAAAATTTATTTACCGGTAGTTTATTATAGAACATAATAAATCACCACAAAATGTTATTCAATATTTAAATCACATGATATCACATAACACATTCAGAATACTCATGGCTGGTAAGTTATAGTAATACTTTACAATATAAAAAAAAAAATCTAATACGTACTCACATTATGATAATGGTGCATTTTATTAATTATTTTCATATTAGGAGATTTGTTTATTGTATGCAAACTACAACTACTGTATCTAATTTGGGTCCAACTAGTTTGTCAGCTGCTGACTGGAACTACGGTATCAGCTCTGTATCGTGGTATGAATTGATATATTGGGCCGACCAGGGGTGGTTAACCCTGGAGTTAGGAGGAATTCTTTGGTGTTCCTTGAAGCAGGATTACATAAATTTCTACTTTAATGATGGTTTTGGGGTCTTACTGGGTTTTCTGCTCATTTATTAAATGGATCTGCATGTAATATTCTTTTCAAAGTGAATATAAAACGATCTTCTTTATTTGTTAATTCTCAGGATTACCAACCATCAGTGACCCACACACTGCTGGGGTATAAGTATACGTTCAGCAACCCATAGAAAATTGTTAGGCTTTTTGACCGTAGAAAACATATTAATTTAGGTAGGACTACTATTTTTTCACCCCAAATAATCTTGAAATATTTTCCTTTTATCCTCTTCGCCATTGTTTCCAATACTTATATGCAGGAACTGTATGTACTGTGCAGTATGGGACAATTTATCTGGTATGCTTGGGACCTGGGGGTTGCCACGTAGAGGGTTTTTCCATTATTTAGAGTGCCAGGCCTCAAAAGGCATTACTCGGTCAAATATACATACTATCTGGAATTAGCAGATGGCCACTCTACTAGAGGTCACAACCTCAATTTAAAGAAGTTACCAGAACATGTACAGAAAACTGTCCTAGCTAACTTCTTTTGGGCTGGTGGTGTTGGATGGAATCATTTTGTGTGAAATTATTAACCTTTGACTTTTCCTCAAAATTGGAGTACATATGGCCTCTGTCACACTGAGTGGGACTCCCCATATTCTGTACAGTGTACTCTATAAGGTGACTCAAATGCCTTGATTCCCAGTCTTGCACCCCAGGGACAGTTTGATTAAGGTTGAGTAATCTCTTCTATTTCTATTACAGTAAAATCTTGATGATACTATTAGATATATTCCTTGGAGTCTGTTCGTATAGCAAAAACTTGTATAACGGAGGAATAATACATTGGTTAAACAGGGATGCGTTCCTGAGCACAGTATTCTCATTGTGTTATAATAAGCCATTTGATACTACTGTATGAATATCATGAATTGATGATGCTATGAGATAAATATAACTATAGAAGACCCCGATATAATGTGAAAGTGGGACTGGGAATTGTTGTGAAATACAGTACTATATCATGAACTGATAATATTAAAATGAGTACTGTATGTCTATTGATTCTCTGCATATTAGCATTACACTTGGGTTTGGATTGTACTACAAATACATACAATGGGTTGGGTTTGGTGTAAGTAAGCCCTATATTGTCTTGTTGTGAGGTTAGCTTTTTATGTTTGGAACCATGTGTTCTCTTCAGATTGCTGTATATTATATAATAGTGGTTGGGGTAGAATTAGTCATAGATAACTGGTATTTAGAATTAAGAGATGGGGATTTGTTTGTTATGACTCCAACACAAGGTGTTTTTGCCTAATATCTGTCCCTCATTTTGACATATCAGGAGTTAATGAAGATTAAAGTAGCAGAGATACTGCAGCCAAAGGAGCAAGTGGGTAAAATTCTAAGTACTTAACCCCTTGACTATAGGGATGCCATATTTAATACAGTGCTTTATTTGGCTAATGCCGGACAATTTATTCAGCAGAGACTCCGGAGAGGGGACCCCATACTCAAGTGGTTAGTAGACTATCTCCCCCTAACTCACTCACTATGGGGATGCCTTTATTAATACAGTGCAGTACTTTATTTGGCTAATGCCAGATGATTTTATTCAACAGAGTGAACCCTGTACATAAGTGGTTAAGGGACTATGCTTCTTCGTATGTAGTAAGAATCTGTCTAAAATGGAGTGTTTATATCCAACAATGATTCACAAGCTAATTTTGCAAGCACTTGTAAAGATATTCGTCCTCCTCCTCTCAGTAATTGAGAGGACAATTCAAGGCATACATGAAAGTAGGTTCAGAGGCTTGTATCCCTTGTCATCTGCTGTTGTTTGGAGAAACAGGCTAACACTTTTAATAAGCATTTTGGCTGTATTATGTGGCAAATTCTTTCTAAATATTTGGACAGTGTCATCTGAATCAACTGACACCAGTTGTAGGTGAGATTAGGAAGTGGATATATTGGTGTGCTACTTTTCCACTTCTGAAGTATTGTAATGTATTACTTTACTTTTACTTTTATCCTCTTCACCACTGATCGGCTCATTAGCCGCTTGGGCGATCGGTCACGTCTCTGATTACTTTTCCTTTTCTTTTATCCTCTTCACCAAAAGATCGGCTCATCAGCTGCTTGGGCAATCGGTCACGTCTCTGTTACGCACTGTTGGCAAGTGCTGGGCATGCACCGGCCCCATGAAATGAGAATTTGTAAGTCCACTGTTACAAGCA